AAAAAAAAAAACACCTGAACAATTGTAAAATATTTTTCATGATTTTCTTGACTCAGATGATATCAACTACATTTCTCTTGAATTATCTTAATACATTAAATATATACTTTATAATATATTTTCTAATAAACTATGCCATAGTATATACATTTAAGCTCTCAAACTATTTCTACAGTAAATATAATTCAGTTCAGATAACAGCTGTTTTAATTCATATAATTTCATGATTTATAAGTTAAATGTGCAATAATTAAATTTTCATGCGTATTTTTCTATTTCTTTCTCATTGCAGGTGAGTTTTCCCAGGGCCTTGTCAAATGCATTTAAATTATAAGTTTAACAGTTGTGGGTAAGTTTAACGTATTTCATATTCAAATGCCTAACAGCAGCTGTTAAAGCGCTGTTAACTAAAAGCTGCGAAAGCTTGCAAGCGTAAGCTTTGGCAACAGGGTGCACTAGGAACTACAAACACTGAAAGCTTTTGGGAAAGCTTTCTTGCTCATGGGACTTAACTAAGTCTTACGGTTTTCGCAAATAAATTATGCTAAATCAATTTAATATAAAATGCGTGCGAGCTCTTGAGCCCTGTCAAGTGTATATATACATATATATTTATATGTATCATTTATAATGGCGTCCACACATCATGGCAAATCATTGTTGCACAGAATTGCAAGTTAAGCATTTGTGCTTTAATGGCATGCCCAGCCACGCCCACTTGCCGCCTCCACTCGTAGGTCGGGAGCTCTGTAACGCTTCGAACAATGCCAACATCTCCATTAATTTTAAATACCGTCAACTTATCAGGCCGCGTCATGGCCCTAAGTGATTTCTTGCTTCTTGATTTAGCGCTCAATTCTTATGCGCGAGGGCGGCTCAAGCAGTTGCTAATGAGCGAGTGAATTGAAAAGGGAGGGTGAATGGTGAATGGTACATACGTTTCTTGCTATTGAATTTGGAAAATGAAGAGCAGAGAGTGGATCAGACTAGAGACTCGTGGAGAGTAGTGGAAACTATTTTTGAGCACTGGAGTGCAATGCAGAGACGAGTGCAGACTGATGGAAGGTAGTGGAAAATATTGAAGATTAATAGATCCTAGCGGAGCCTATCAGAGCGCAGTTTAGACTGGTGGAAACTATTGAAGATTAATATAGCCTAATGAGGAGAGGAATAGAGGCTAAAGGAGAGTAGTGAAAACTATTGGAGAGTAGTAAATCCAAATGGTGACTATTCTTGTGGTAGTGGAGACTAGGGGAAACAAGTGGAGGCTAATGGAACTTCTCTACAATAGCAGTAGAGCCTAATGGAGACTCGTGTAGACTATTGCAGACCAGTGGAGACTACCGGACGCTAAACTAGACTAGTTTACGAGTAGGCAAGATTAGATAAAATTCTATTAGCCTAGAAGACGTATTCTCCAAGGTGCCGTTCAATTCTATCCAATAATCTTTTGTTATTATTCATCTCCTCTTCATCCTTTCGCTCTTTGTAATGCACTCAAATACAAAATAATTGATTTTGGTCCGCTAAAGCAACTAATCTTGTCTAGATTTCCTCAGATTAGAATCAGTTCCCATTCTGGGCTAGGCTAGTCTAAGCTACTATTATATTTTAATGCTTGGACAGTCTTTCCTCAAAAATCTTAGACTCTGCAAGATTTTAGTCAATATTCTACTCGCATTGCCAACTTAAAGTTTCAACTTCTGTTTATTCCACCTCCATTTCATTTTCGTCTAGCTTAATTTATTCTCTTTTAATTATATGTTATTTCCATCTCTTCCACTCTCTATTTCACATTATGTGGCAAATTAAAACTAATTCGAAAAACTTCACCGATAAGCCTCGTGTCTATTATTATGCTAAGCCAATTAATAGTGTAGCTACGCCCAGCTGACCTTCGTTTAATTGACAAGCGACCCTCGTATTTTGGGTTCTTCATAGTCTATATATATATATATAGAGGGAGAGGGGGAGCTGTACAATATCTATAGCCGTACATAAAGAGACGCATTCCCATTTGTGGCCAAAAGCTGGCAAGGACATGCGGCTGGCGTGCTCTTTTGTTGCATGCACACATGCCCTTCACCTTGCCACGCACACATCCACACACAAACAAACACAAACTCACATACACACATACACACAGTTATATAAATAACATAGTTTAGGCTCTGGCATGCCTGGCTCTCGACAGCATTTTTTGGCTAACTGTTCTTTAATCAAAGCCATTCCACTAAATTATGGCCACGTTTAAAAAGCTGGCTAGCTAACTGGCTAACTGGCTGAGCTCTGCCTGGCTGGCTGCTTGCTAATTCGTTGCGGCATTCCTGAAGGCTGAAGGCTTCAAGGATGC